AAAGCGATGCGGTATTATCCAAGCTACTAAATGATGTTGTCAAAGTTATAGCTCATCGTCTAACTTTCTGAGATAGCGAGAATTTTATGTTTCTCAATGGCAGTTACGCCCCCTAGGGGTCGAATTACGAACTTCAAAATAATTTAAAGCCATTTCTCTTGGTCACTTTGCTGATAAGGATTTTTTTCCCAAACCTCTAGGCCTTACCGTTGTCGAGATACAGCCGCTCCATACGCTTAACGGGACAGCCTGTATACATAGTTTCTAACTATGTATACAGTAACTTTGGATACATTTAAATTGTGTCTTAACTTCAACTTACCATTACTTTATTTATGTTCGGTATTAAAGCAACAATAATTGTATACAAAAACACTACTGTGTACGTGATGTAATGAATCATTTTAAATTCGCTGCTTTTAGTTAGACGTGAGAGAGACTTAGAGTTAGGCTTGATGTTGTAGTGTTGATTCACCATTCGGATTTTTGTGAATGTTTCATTCCGGCGAATGAAACCATTCATGCAGGTCTCTGGTTGCTACTGAGTCGGGGATTGTCGGTTTTTCTTTTTCATAGGAAATTTCATCGCTGTGATTCTTTGGTTGATGCCTTTACTTATCTTTTAATCATGGGCTGTTGGGGTTGACAGTTGCAATTCTGGGAAACACCCTGGGAGTTTTGCGAATTACTTCGAATCACTTTTATATTGAAAATGTTAAGTATTAGAACTTCTTAGCTTCTAATACTTCTAGTTTAAACAGAACTGTTAATAATATGCCAGCGCTCTTATTTATACTCCTAACTTATCTCTATAAAGTTCTTAAAAACTAGATAAATGCGCATTGCCTCTTATATTTATCATGGCAGCACCTACTACCATATACACTATCTACCAATAAGTATTTGGACACCCATGCAAATGCCGACATCTGGAGATGTTCGTCACGCTGGCTGTAGTCGCATACAAGCTGTCACGCAGTGCAGAATTACCTGATTTCAAGAAAGGTGAAATCGTCGAGTGTCACAGAAATGGTCGATTTTGCCCCGAGTAATTCGGAAGCACCGCACCCTACCGATAGATCACAGACACCAGGAGATTCAACAGGTATCCGGGAGTGTTGTTTCGATGAGTGGATTGAGACTCTTGCCCCGAATTCATGTTAACCAGAATGCCCACTATTCTACGAAGTGGGCCTATGTTGCTTTCAGGACGACAACGCTAACTGTTATGTTGTGAGGTCCACCATCAATTGATGCGATGACATTGGGGCTACTAGAATGGACTTGTCGCTCCAGAGCCCAGACCTAAACTCCATCGAAAACATCTGCTACGAATTGGATCGAGAACTTGTGAAAAGCACGCTAACGAGGTTTGACACTATAATTGCCGCACGTGGAAGCTACACTAATAAGGAAATTATAGAAAACTGAGTTTAAAATGGTTCACCATATTTTATCATCCTTATTAGAATCCTCAAAATATCCATATTATATTTTTTTTAATTTCTAATTTATTAATTTTTCTAGGATGACTCAAAAACTGAACAAAATATTCTCCTTTGGACACTTTATTCAATTAACAACCAGCGTAACCGCTTTATGCGTCTCATTATTTTTAATTAACTTAAACGGATTCAAAGAAAATATCCAAATTTTACCATACTGTTTCGGACATCTTTCCCAGTTATTTTTATTATGTTCAATTTCAAACGAACTAACTTATTGGGTAAATAAAAAAGTTATTTTCAATCAAGTTTTTTTATTCTTATTCCATATTTTAGGGTTCAAATTTTGCAAATTCCTTAAATTTAAGTAACTGGTATGAAAATGACCTAAGAAAAGTCAAAATTTACGTTATATTACTTAATCTAAAATCGCTACAACCCTACTCTATGAATGCGATGGGATTTATTAAACTGAATTATCCTACTTTTATTGCTGTAACTAAAATATACTAAAACAGTTTTTATTAGTGATTTCATTCTTGCAGGTTTTAAAATTTTCGTTTTCTTTGTATACAGTAATGAGTGTGATCTTAAAGTCCTCTTCGAGTCATTAACGAATCAAAAAGTGTATAAAATGAGAAAGAAATCCTCAAAACTTTTATCAACCCTGCAAAATCCAAATTGGTTATACCGGCAGCTGTTAAAACGCATTCGCGATGACATCTTTGGATCATCATAATCATCGTTCTACGAAAATCTCGATCGAAATCTGAACACCAATTGCAACTAAAAATTTTATCTGATAAAAGTGTACTTTGATGTGTTAGTTCTTGTCCAACGAAGCAATAACAGAATAATTGGGTGAGATGAGCAACCGAATACGTCATCATTTTTGAGAATTGGCTTCTATCTAATCTCTACAAAATCAATCAAAAAATAATAAACAAAATTCTAAAATATTTCAGGATTACCAAAACTAAAGCACTCGAACAAATCGACATTGTACTCGTCACGTATTGAATTAAAATAACGATGTTGAATGAATTTTCCAAATTTGTACATAATCTAAAAAGATTTGAGCAAGAATATAGTTTAAAAACAAGCTTTATTTCATTACTTCAATAATAATTCGTGTTGTTCCAAACATTTCAACACCAATTCCTTATCGGAAATATTTTCCCTTTCAAAAATCAATTTCTTCTGCCTTTCGGAAGATTCAGTAAAGATATTTTGAAACACATCTTGTATTACACGAAATTGCATCGCGCAGATCATTACCAACGGTAAAAAAAGTAAATCNTTTTTTTTTTTGTAAATACTAAACTTATATATTACTTACAACGTTAATATGGTTGGAGAGAAATTGGAACATTAATTTAACTTTATATTACTAATAATATCAAGGGAACGATGTTCATTTAATTGGAACGAGATTTGAGGTTATGGATGATGTATCATGCAACGGTAACGTTCGTGAAGGTACAAGGTTATGTCTATAAATAGACATGAGTTTAAATTTAGTTTTATGGAAAGGGAAAGTTATGGAAGGTAAATGGATAAAGGGTAGAATTGGGATATGGGGATGTCCGCTGGGTTTCCAGTTATTGCAGCTTCATCATTGCGGGCGAAATGATGAAACTCTCGTGTAACTGGGATGATTTAGGGAACTTTAAACGGAAAGTTCAGGTTTTTGTATGAAGGTCTTTGTTTAAGTTGTGTCTTGTCGTTAAGGTTCTCTAGGTGGTTATTCTTGTATTTCATTCTTTCAATTTCGTATGTTTCGTATATAAGCATTTTTTGGCTTTTTGTCATATTATGTAATAGTTTGATGTTGTTTTCCTTGTTAAATTCATGTTTGTTTTCGATTATATGTCTTCCAAAATTTGAATCTGTGTTTCGTAAGTGTTCTTTCATTCGAGTTCGTATATTTCTTCCAGTTTCTCCCACATAAAAGGCTCCACATGTATTACAGTCCAAAAGGTATACACCGTTTTTATCTAATGTTTCGATGTTTCCTTTTGTGTTGTTTAGTATGTTTTTTATGTTATTATGTGATTTAAAGGAAAGATTTATATTATTTTTATTGAATATTTTACTAATTTTGTGCGCTATTTTTCCACAGTATGGTAGTGATCGAAATTGAGTGTTTTGTTTGTCTTCTTTATCATTCAGAGTTGTTGAGTTTTTTAGATATTGTTTTATTCTATAGTTTTTGATCATCTTATCTATGTGTTGTGATGGGTATCCATTGTTGTTTGCTATGTTCTTTATTATTTTAATTTCCTTGTTTAAGTTTTCCTCGTTGAGATGTGTTGAAAAT